TGGTTGTATATTGCCACATATAGGATCTTTTGGAATTATTTCGATTATATGGTCTTATTGTAAACTGGAGGAAGTTTTATCTCCTTATTTGGTTAGCCGAAGGCCATTTCTTATGTTTTATGATAATTTGGTTTATGTTGTTGAAAAACAAGTGGAAAGGCTTATGTTTGATAGCTTTTGTTACCCGGGCCGAAGGTTCGGAGACCCAATAGATTTTTAATGAATGATTTCATTGGATGCAACAGTTTTATTTGGGTTTCGGTCCACAAGTTTGAATGTCCATTCCTAAAAGTTATGCAAATCCCTTTCTACTATGGTAGTTTGTTGTAACAGTTTTCCTTTCCTACTGGTAGTTTTATGACGAGTTTTATAATGTATAAGAGAAGGAATTTTACACTCTAGATCAAAGCACTGCTCTAGTAAGAGTGAGCTAACTTATGAAGGAATGAACAGCAATCATGATGGAGTGGACATCAGTGTGGAAAGCAATGCGTCCTCCCTGAGATGGTCAAGTTGATGTTGTGATTGTAAAAGCAATATGCTGTTTATCGAGGAAAGGTGAGAGCAATATGTCCTCCCACAAAAATAGTACCGTGTTAACCTTAAGGGCAGCACTCGAGCTGATGTGTTTTGGTGATGTGTAAAATATGATCTAATAAGAAAAAAGGGTGATGTAGTAAAATAATCATAGGGGGACATGGATTAAAGCTTATATATAGATGAGATTATTTATTGTTGCATGTGATTAAATAACGGCATTGTTTCGTGTTGCGCGAAGAAGGTAAACGTTAATGGCCCTGTATCACTTATAAGCACTTATAAGGACAGCAAAACCCCCTCACATTCGTATAAGCTATTCTTCCATGGATGCGATTCACACAAATACTAATTAACCAACTCAATAAAGTGTTATTATTCCCATATATTACAAAATACTACCTCACTCCTCTCGTGTATTATTTACAAGTCATAATTGATAATGACTAAAATAGCATCCAATCTGACAGTCTGACTTTGATTTTTGTCATTTTTGTAATTTTCTTCTTCAACTAATTCATAGACACTTAGCTCATTAAATTTGTCTTTAAGTTGAAAAATTTGTTCAGCTTAACCATGTTAAATGAGGCTTTAAAGGAAGGAGAAAATATACGAAGGCATATTTAAACATTAAATACTGGAACAAAATTGACGCATGCAATTGCTTTCCAAGTGGCTTATACGACTGTGTTGCACTTTTAGAAAAAAATTTTAATCATAAATATAAATCATAATTGATGATCATTTTTAATTTTATTAATTTATTGCATTTTTTTTAGAGAGAATGACAAATAAAGACTCCTCAGTATATGAAATTACAATTTGAGACTTTCAATTTGAAAAATGACAAATAAAAACTCGATCCTATATTACAAATATAAAATCTTGATAAAATGTCTGAAATTTCCCTTAATCAAATTGTATATTTTTACATAAATTAAAAAGTTGACAACCTGCCATAATTCATTCTCTTCCCTATTTTCTCTCATTACTCATTACTACTCTCCGTTATAAATAAAAGGAAAGTGACTTATAATAAGAAAAAAAAGTGGAGTGGGGTTGTGGACTGGAAAATTCTTTTAGAAGTGATTTAATATAGTATGGACGTGAGGGAGCATTTTTTATGCTTTGCAGGAAATATAAATGAGTATCAATACAATTCACTTTTAAAAAATAAAAAAGAAGAAGGAGGAGGCATTGACAGCTGGATCCTTTTTTAGTTCAAAGAATGACACCAGTTTTCCAAAATGACACGTATTAAAAAAAAAAAAAAAAAAAACCCTTGTCTTCAAAGGACGATGTCGTCGCGCCGGCGCCGCGGCGATCATGAAAAACTCATTACCCTCCAACCCAGTCCCTTCCTCCCATTCACTTCACCCACATCCCATTGCTCCCCCCTTCGGTGCCACGTGTTGTCTGCCTTTGAATCTGTTGGCTGTGTCTCGAGGCTTCTGACCCAGACCCACCCTCTCCGACACCGATGACCACCGCAACAAACCACACTTCGCCGCAATATCTGCTACTCTTCACTTGGTTAGCATTTGTGAGACGCCAAATTAGGAGCAGGGAGTTAAGAAGATCAAGCCAAAATCAAAGAAAAAGAAGAAACAGAGTAATACACTTTTCCCGCCCGCTCTTATCTCCATCTTATCCCTCTGTCATCCAAGTTACAGTAACTCTTTGATCTAGATGACTATATTCCATTCCATCGGTAATTCTTCCTATTTCATTTCACATTCTTTTTTCGGGGGGTGTGGGTTGTTGTGGGGTGTGGGAGATTATGGATGCTTCCTATTCCAGAACTTGAAATTATTATTTGAAACATTTGAGACAGAAGAGACTTAGACGATATTCAAGGAAAAAAAAAAGATGGAAGAGGGATCATGGCCGGCTCGGTGTTGTTTGAACTTATATATGGTCCTTAATATAGGACCCAATTCTTAAGTTGATTTTGATTCTAAATATAAGACCCATTTCTCATATTTATCAATTTTCTCTAAATTACCCTTATGAATACTCCCTCAACCATAATCAAGTAAATGAGGGCGATGGGGTATTAAGAAAGATGATTATGATGTTTTAGGAAAAATGTGTCAATTTTCTTATAATTAACTAACTTACCTAATTTTCTTAATCTAATCAAATTAGTTAAATGGGTCTTACATTAAGGACCGGAGGAGTAATTCGTTAACACTCCTTTAGTCTTATTTAATATATCAACGCAATCTCTCGATACCTGATAGGACCAAAAAATATATGGTCTCCGGTAGTAGTCTTTGTTGAACGTGCGCATTCCAGATTATTAGTAGTTTTATGAAAAATGAGAAAGGTACGTGAGGGAGATGGAGAAACTAGAGAAATTGGAGTCTCGTTCACTTTATTATCTCAAATATGTGTTCATCGTCTGCTATATCTCTTATATAGGATCCCAATATTAAATAAAGACTAGCCTAAAGTTACAAGTACAAAGGAAATTAAGCAACATAATTGCATAATTGGAGATTATAAAAAATAAATACCAGAGACTATTCACTTTGGGAGTTAAAAGGTATATCCCAAGGGGCTAAGCAATTATGAATGTGACAATTGTTCTTTTAAAAACCATTTAAATTAAATCAAATAATTTATTTAATAGAGAAACCTTAAAATTATAAAATCACTAATAGTTAAAAAGAATAAACTGGTAATATTATTAAAGCCTTCCCGTCAAATAGCAACAATCAAAAAGTATTAGTTTACACATCCAAATAGATGAGCCCTAGAGAGGCTATACAATCTATAGACCACCACCTAAAAGATAGTAAAAACTACAGGATAAAACAAAAATCTCAATAACTAGCTTTCCAACTCATCATACATACTAACATGTACTCGTGTCAGACAATTATTAATTTTCAAGAAATATAAATATATCAATAGAAGTATAAAACACATATAGTAATATAATCTCAATCATTCAAACTCTCGCTATGTGGGCAACACAAAAGCCACATAATTCTATCCGTACTGTGGGGAATTAATCAGACATATAGGCCTATTTTTTACTTTGAAAGATGAATAAAAAGCTACAAAGGCTTATCCCTCACTATGGGGAAGAAAGAAGCTAACCAATGATAGAATAAGACTTAACTCAAAATCCAAATAACAACTAATCATTCACAATATAACAAGAAATATCTCAATTTTTCTTAATATAATCTATAAAATATAAATTATATATTTTTCCAAATGACTTAGTTACAATTCTAAAAGTCCCAAGACAATTCTCAAATTCCAAATAGCATATCATTATTTTAAAATATCAAAAAATCAAAACAATATATTAACATATATAACAAGTGAAAAGTGATTTACCATAAAATCAATAAAAAAGATTACCATAAGGTCAATCTTTTACTCAACCAATAATTAATCTACACAATTAATATAACCATGTATTAATATAAACTAATTAATTAATTAAACTTATATATATTAGTTAAATTTCTAATTTAATTTAATTTTTATTTTAAATTTTCGCAACTCTCATAACCCAAAATTAATTATTTTAGAACCAACTAATAATTTTCTAACAAACCAAAATATTTATTTACATCTTCCAAATTAATTACTATATAAATAAACAATCTAATTAAAATTTTAATAGTATAAGGATATGATTTTTTCCCTCAAATAATAAAACTTTTAGCTAATTATTTTAAAACCTCCGTCACCCAATAAATAAAAATAAAAGTAAGTCAATTAAAATCTCAAGAATACGACCAAAGAAATTATTTAACATAATTTTAATTGATATAAATATGATAAATATTATATGTAACATATTTTTCAATTAAATAAATTAATTTAAATACTAAGATAAATCCAAACAGTTTAAAATTAACCACTAGATTTTTATGTCATCTATTATCAAATATACTATAGTATTAGAGTATAAATTAACAATTTTCTTTAATTACTATAGTATTAGTATGAGGAATTTTAAAATATATAGAACTTTTGATGTGAAAAAAAATAATTTTATGTAGTTAAATTTCGGATGTGCTCGTTGCTCTCTCCCTCTCTCTCTTTCTACGCCTGAGGAAAAGACGGCTATATTACCCTCGCACAATTATTAGGGGGAGTTCCCCCTAATAAATTTTCTTCCACCGCAGTTAACTTTTTCTTAATAATAAAAAAATATTATTATTTTATAATAATATAATATTTATTATTTTATTTTTTTTGTATTTTTTGTATTTTTTATTTTTTTTTTGCATAAATTCTAAAATAAAATTTAGGATATATTGTGCTTTATTAAAACCTAAGAAAAAGCTTTTGTATTGAAAATGGCTCAAATATAGAATATAGATTGTGATTAGCTATGATGGCTGTAAGTTGTAAGTTGTTCTATGCATGTTTTCGATACTTGGATGCTCAGGTTCTGGCGACTTAGGAACCACTTGGGATTTCCAGGGACCACCTTTTCAAGATATTGTCTTCTGGACCTGTGTGTAATTTTTCTTTAAAGATTTAGCATTTTCCAAACAGAGCATTTAGCATTTTTCAAAGATAACACCTACTTCTTTTGGTGCAGGGATTGCAACAATGTTCGGAAGCTTTAAAAAAGGCAGAGATAACCCGATGATTATAACAATACAAAGGGTGGCCATGCAACTTTAAAAGGTGCATGAGGTGTTTCTTTCTAACCTCTTGGATTGATTGGACGGACATGATTTAGGGCTTCTGAGGGACGTTGAGAAAGCTTTCTGAGAGAACCCAAGCCCGGCCTTTTCTTCTGCTATTTCTCTTTCTCCTCTTGAGATATTTGAGGAATTTGAGGAATTGTTTTCTGCTGTAATTCTTGAGGAATTTAAGGACGTTTTGTTTGCGTCTAATCAATATGAAAAACTTACGAAAATCTTTATTGTAGATTATGAATCTTGCTGCATCACTTTCCAACTTGGAAGGCAGCTTGAGTTTGATCAGTTTTTTGAATGCAATCCCAAGAGAACCCATTGAATCCGTGACCTTGTACTTGGGAATCACTCCGCCACTCTGGTGGGATGACCTAGAACTTATCTGGGAAAAAATGGAAATTAAAGGTCAAAACAATGTCATGAATCATTAAAAAAAAAAAAAATCAAATAGGAACTTAAAAGTGACCTCGCAAGCAATGTTGGAGCGTTCGTGTTCTTCTTGGTCAACAGGAAGAAGAGGACAACTGCGAGACATCTTTAGGTATGACATCGAACTAAGATTTGATAGAGGATTAAAAACTGGAACAGAGAAAACAACGATCAATGACATAATCAGACCTGAAATTTAAAACATCATTCGATTAAATACATTAACAATGCAGCAAAACCTCCAAAAGTCTTCATTTCAGCTCCTTTCCATAGCACATTCAATATTGTAGCCGTCATACATACATTCAAAATAAACAACAAAATGAAAGCCTGATATACTGTTATTTTCCTACAAAATGAAAGCCACCAAATGAAAAGCAAAATGAAAGACACAAAACAGAATTTTATCTCGGGTCCATTCCATTGGCCTGTCAGCTCCTTTTCAAGTGAGTGAACGTTATGCATCTTGAAATGATATTACATACACATACATACAAAATGAAAGCCACAAACCGATATACTGCTGCATGAGTATGACTACCAACGAAAAACAACTTTTGAGCTTTCTGCCTTTTAAAATTTTTATGTTCAGATTAATAAGATCTATACAAATTTATTTCAAGGTTAACACAGTCAATCACTTTTTTAGATTAAAAGTATCCCATTTCTATCCAAAAACATACCACATGAGATTTTAGGTCATCCCATTTCATTCCATTCTGGTTTCAATCGCCCTCCTGACCTTCCCAAATATCGTATCAACAAGTAATGATTGATAAACTCAAAGTGCTAATGATTCATAATTTTTCCAGTAACCAAGCCAAAAAGGTTGGATTAGCGATTCCCCAGGCCCAGGCTCCATGGCGATATGCAACATATCCCACTCAGTACTCATTTTCAATCACTGACCTCAGCAAATACCACGCAAACAAAGCAAAAGGTCCATATTATATGGATAAATTGAAGATTGGAGTCGAAGCATTCCATTTGCCATTTCCCCAATAGAGGAAAGGAACACAAAGCTTACCTATTGACGACGCAGGAGCTAGATGAGGACTACTAAGGAGGAGGAGAGATTAGATCTGGGAGACTGAGATGGTGCGCGACCGTGCGAGCTCGGAGCTAGAGAGTGAACGACAGGAGCAAAAAGCTTACCTATTGACGACGCAGGAGCCAGATGAGGACTACTAAGGAGGAGGAGAGATTTGATCTGGGAGACTGGGATTAGATCTGGGAGACTGGGATGGTGCGCGACGGTGCGAGCTCGGAGCTAGAGAGCGAACGACAGCGATGCTATGGCTCGTGAGGTCCAACCATGCCAGCTCGGAGTGGGACAGTGAACGGCACCAGGGAGCACGGACTAAGAAGTGGGAATGGAGGTAGGAGGGTGAGAGCAGAGCAAGATGGAGAGTTGGCGTCTTCTAGAACAGAAAGGGGACTGGAGAGCTTCAGCGGCTAGCCCAATTAAACCAAGGAATTTTTTTTTAGTTACCCGCTCCCCATTACGTCTAATTCGAAACTTTAAACAGTACGGCTTACAACTTGGATACTTGGACACAGGTCCCGTTGGTAATTAAACCACGGAATTAAAAGAGATGGGAAAAAACCAAAAGTATTCATTGTTTTGGGTTTAGTAATGCAGGTTCTTACCTGCAAGTGTTGGGTTCGATACCTACGCTTTACTCAGATCATAAACAGGTTGAGCATCATAAAGTTACAGGCTTTTATTTTAAAAAGCCTACCCAGGCCTTAAAAGCAAAATAGGCCTAAAGAAAAATTCTTAAGAGGCTCAGCATCATAAACAGGCTGAGGCTGAGAATTATAAATTGAAAAAATTATAATTAGATCTCATTTAAAAAATTAAATACAAAAAAGTCTCTTAAAATTATAAAATTATTTTAAAGTCTCAAGACACTTTTTTACAATAAATTTTATTTATTTAATTACCAAATTACTCTTTTTATAAGTTTGCATTGACAAAAGCAGTGGTTGACAACTTAGGATGCAAAGGTTGACAATTATCGCGGTTGGTTTGACAACTTAGAGTGTGATATGCTGAAAAAATGTGTTGTCAGACAAGTCGTGATAGTTGTCAACCCTTGCATCCTAAGTTCTCTTTCACTACTCTTTCAGTTGCCAATACAAACTTGATAATTAAACAAATAAAATTTATTACAAAAAGATTATTGAGACTTCAGAATAATTTTATGATTTTAAGAGATTTTTTGTATTTAATTTCTTTAAGTGGGATGCAATTGTAATTCTTTCTTGTAAATTCTCAACAGCCTGACAGGCAGGCCGCTTTGTAGGGAAAATTTTGAGACTGAAATGAAAGAGAGAGATAGGGTAGGGACGGGGAATTTCAAATTTGAAATTCAAATCTATTCGGAAAACCTACGCCACACACATACGCCATACATTTTTCTTAAAACACATCATTGCATCACTGTCCAAGTCACACCTTACTATTATATTAACTTAGATTCCTTTCAAAATCATTTTAGACCACATTGGATGGTTTTGGGCTCACTTTTTTCTATAAAAACGCTAATTTTCGGATTTTTACTGTTCATCAGGTAAAAATCCAGTTTTTCTGGCCCAACTTCAAAAATTCATAACTTATTCTACAAAAATCCAATTGGGGTGATTCAAAATTCTACTTAAAGCTCTTTAAGTCCTCTTTCAAGCAAAAGTAATCTCATTGTCCAATTCCTTATGAGAAAGCATCAGGTTTTTGAGAAAAGCAACACTGTCCATTTGCCAAAAACCCTGATTCCCAGATTCTGACCATTAACTTTGAAAAATCATTATAAATCGTATACTAGGTCATTTTTAACGTATTAGCTATCAAATTGAAGCTCATGACGTTATCTTTCATCATACAAAATTTCATAATTAAACGTGTTCGGGAGCATAGCCAAAAAGTCATATGAACCAGTCAGGGTCAGTGTGCTTCTAGCACTGTTAGTTTAATATTTACATAACCAAAATGAGCTCACGAATTTTTGTGGCTAAACCCCACAAATTAGCCTTCAATCTACAGCTTTCCCTTGGAGGATTCAGGCCTTAAAATGTTACATTATTTTTAGGGGATGAGATTTTTGAAAATCCCAATAGCAAATTAACCAACTATAACACCAAGCAAGCATCATTATTATACATGATCATATTAGCTACTATTGGTGAACTAACATGCTTATCATTTGGCAAACTCAAACATGCAAAGGCCAAAGCAAGATACTATAAAGAGCAGCCACATAACAATCAAGAAAGTTCAACCACAATAATAGTAATTAACCATACAATAATCAATAATGCTAGTTAGTGGTAGTAGCTAGGTTTAACTTACTACCTTGCTCCAAAAGTCTTAGCTTTTCTTCCTTCTCCTCTTTCCCTTGACAAATATCAAACTCTAACCATATAATCCATCAATAAAGGCAGCCATAATCATTATCCAACCATGAAAAAAAGCAAGAACATACATCAAAATAATTTTTGAACCATAAAGCTCCCTCCTTTGTTCATTACTTTTAGACTTGGTTCTCTTTAACCCTAAAAATCACACCTTGACCTAACCCTACATGGTTTTTCATGTAGATTCCAAAAATAGGCTTAGATTTATGAAAATAAAACTGCTTCTTCTAGCAACAAACTGACCGAACCACTAGAGGTTTTGACCCAGAATTTTCAGCTTTGCTTTTAAGCTTTCGACACTTGTTTCTTTTAGTCTACCCTACACCATTTCTCATTTTAAGCATCATGGAAACCTTAAAATAATGAAAAGCTCATCCTAGGGTCCAGTTCACCTCTTGGCTGAAAAGAACTCTCACAACAACAACCATGAAAAAATGCTTTAAAACCACTTAAACTCACTTGCACACACTAGAATCTAGCTTGTATAGTTGTGTCTTAGCAAGTGTAAAAACCAAAAATCCTTTCCCCTTTTTTAACAACCAGTTTAGTCCACATTAAGAGAGGGAAGAGACAGATTTTAAACCATAAAAATGAAAGAAAACAAAGTAAGAACACCTCTAGAACCAAGATCTAACCTTGAAACCTTGCTTGGATGATCAAAAGTGCTTGCTTTCTTCTTGTTTCCTCTCAAACTCTCTCTTTTTCTCTATTTTTCTCCCTTGGACGAAATGTGGGTCTAAAAATGGGGAGAGAAGAGCTGATTAATGGCTCAAAATATCTCAACCACCCTCTTTAATGATAATCCAAGCGTCATTACCCTACTAAGTCTTGATTCTTCTTTCCTAATTAACATAATTCCAAATGAAATTAATTATTAAATTCAAAATCCTCTCCATTTATGGAATGACACTTGGCTAATTCAAATCTTCTTCTTCAAGAGCTTGACACATGGCTCAATAGGATCCCTTGGATTTGCAAGACACCAATCTTGCTTTATCGGTATACTTTAGGCTCTGAGTTCAACTTCTTTTCTATAATTACAGTAGCTTAGCCTCTGTAATTATTTTTTGTCAGATCCTTAATTTAATCTCCTCATTTTTATCTTTCTAAATTGCCTTCTTTGTCTCAAAATTAAGTTCCTAATAATTAAATATAAAGGAAAATTAATTTCCTTCCCTTTAGGGATTTTTCCACTTTTCACATTTATTTGGAAAAATCTTGGGCACTTGAGGGTCTTCATTTAATTCTATAATTTCTTATAATTCCTTGGGATCCCATAGGAATTTTCTTGGAATTTTATTTCCCCTAAAAATATTTATTTGGAATTTTCCAAATAAAATCCCTTAATTAGCCTAAATCACCCTTAAATTCTCTCATAATTTCTCTAAGGGTAATTTGGTCATAAAACCAACTTTATAATTTCATATAACTCTCAAAAGATATTATCCTCATTTTCCCTTAATTTTCCAAGGCTCGAAATATTTTTCCTTATTTACATTTGACCAATTGTCCTTAATTAGTCAATTTTCTATAATTGGCTTGGAAAATTACTGTAATTATTTTCCACCAAAATCTTTTGACTTTTCCTTATCATTTTTAATCCTCAATAATTTGAGAATATTTCTTATCTTTAATTAACATAATACTGGATGTGACAGTCCACATCTAAATCAAGCATGGATCACAATATTTTATGCGCACGCAGCCCAACAAGCAGTCAGCACTGTTCATAGAACAGTGAAAATAGAGGGGAGCTAACAGCTTCATCAACCGTGAAACAATTTTTGACTTAATATATAGATAGAAGAATTATATCTATTTTTCCATTTTTTGAGTACCTAACTATTTCGCCAGATTTTAACTTTATTTGCTTTTTGAGTATTAACCATTTTGCAAGATTTAAGAGATTAAATTTTAAATTCATGTGCTTTCACAAGATTTTAACTTTATTTGCTTTGGTTTTTAAGAGATTAAATTTTAAATTTGTTAAGAGGTGTGTGGGTTGCGTAAGTGTTGTAGGCCTAAGTTAGCTCCGTTGGGCCCTGTGGTCTATAAATAGGAGTGATAGAGTCCGTTACAAGTAGTCTTTTGTAATCAATGGCCGAGTGGCCCCTTTGATCAATAATATTGTGCAGTATTCAGGTTATCTGGTCCTTTACATGGTACCAGAGCAGGTTCGTATGGGCTTAGAAGTGAGAAGCCCAGTTCCTGGAGACATTCTGGTTGGTCCACACAACACCAGTGTTCACGACGACGTCATCGTATGATTTCAGTCTCTCAACTCATTCGCTGCATCAGTCGTAGCCCTAGTCGCGACTTGTTAGAGTAGTCATCGTCGTGTTAAGTGATCGTCAGCCATCATTCTCGCAATTTCTGCCTCAAGATTGTTGTCTTCATCAACACCTGTACCGCCACAGAGTTTTTGATCGATAAAAGAATCCTTCTTGTGCTCCTGATTTCTTCTTTTTCATCTTTCTTCATCTCGAACAACCACCCGCTGTCGGCCATTATTTTTGGTAAATCATTATGGGTTTAAAGAAGATGATACAACGGAAAACACACAGATGCTTGTTGACTTTACTCATCCCCTATATCTTCACCCTTCGGACACTCAATCGGTGACCTTAGTATCTCAAGTGTTACGGGGAGCCGATAATTATGAAGTTTGGAGCTATTTGATTACACTTACTCTCCTTGCCAAGAATAAGATGGGTTTCATCGACGGAACGTGCACCCGAGATAATCAAAATACAAATCTAAGGGATCTCTGGGACCCATGCAATGCTATTATGTTATCTTGGCTCATCAATTCAGTGGACAAGCAGATAGCCACCAGTATAGTCTTCTCCAACAGTGCACAATTGGTGTAGTTGGACTTGAAGGAACGCTTCCATAAGGCCGACAGTATGCGTATTTTTGCCTTACACAAGAAGATCAATTCCATGGTCTAAGGTGCTGCAAGTGTGTCTGAATATTATACCCAACTTAAGGATCTTTGGGATGAGTATGATGCCATTATGCCTCTGCCTACATGTAACTGCAATACCACCCAAGACTACTCCAAGACAGTCCAGCAACAATGATTGTTTCAATTTCTGACTGGACTGAATGATAACTTCCATCAGGCTCAAACTCAGCTCCTTCTTCGATCACCACTTCCCACAGTTAACCAAGCCTATTCCTTGATATGTCAGGATGAGTCCCAACAATATATTTCCACCCATACCAGTAACTCCTCCCTTGACAACGACACAATGGCAGCTCGTGGTAGAAGACAAGGCAGGGGCAAAGGATGAGGAAGAGGCAGGTCCTCTGAAGAGTGCTCCTACTGTCATCGAAAAGGCCACAAACAGGAAAATTGCTATGAATTGATCGGTTTTCCCACAAACCTTCACACTAGACGGCCTCAGAATCCTACTGCTAATCATCTTACCACCACCTCATCTCTACCTTCTCCTCCGTCAAGTCAGATGCCCATCACTCAAGACCAATATGATCAGATATTGAAGCTTTTGTGAAATGAGCCAGATGACATAGCTGTCAGAGCAACTGACTATTTTGAGGAGACGGTTTCAGGTATTGTTCTTGCTGTCCCCAGGTCATTCTGTGAATCTAATTGGATCCTTGACTCTGGGGTGACGTGTCATGTTGTGAATATTCTGAGCATGTTTCATACGGTTGATAGGTATTCAGGTCCTGTTAGAGTAATTAAGATCCCTAATGGTGATAGGATGTTGATCACTCATGTAGGCACTGTCAAAATACTTGATTCTGTAGTCCTAAAGGATGTTTATTATGTTGTTGGCTGCTGTTATAACCTCATTTCTATTTCTAAATTGATAGCCAATAAGGAGTTTATAGCTTCCTTTTACTCTGATTATTGTACACTACAGGACATATCAACTGGGAAAACAAGGAGGATTGGTAGCCTTTATGGTTGTCTCTATATCATTGAGAAAGTTAACAAGATAAATAGTGTGATGTATGTCTCTACTAAACAAGTCATTTGGCATAATAGATTAGGTCATGTTCCTATCAATAAACTTAGATATCTAGATGCAATTCAAAACAGATATTCCTATTGTCACTGATGAGAAATGTATTGTTTGCTCTCGTGCTAAACAAACCAAGTTACCTTTCCCTTCTAGTACTTCTAAGACCCACAGCAGTTTTGAATTAATTCATGTAGATGTTTGGGGACCTTATAAGGTTCCCAGTTATAGAGGCCATAGATATTTTCTCACTGTTGTTGATGACTTCTCTCGTTGTACTTGGACTTTCCTTATGATAAATAAAAATGAAGTAGTTTACCATTTGAAGAATTTCTTGATTTATTTTGCTACTCAATTTTCCTCTGTTGTTAAGAAGGTTAGAACTGACAATGGTTTGGAGTTTGTTAATGCTGAATTGAAATCTCATCTCACTAGCAAAGGGATAGTACATGAGACTTCATGTCCTTATACACCACAACAAAATGGGGTAGTTGAAAGAAAACATCGTCATCTCTTAGAGGTTGCTAGGAGTCTTATTTTTCAGTCTCATGTTCCACTAAAATTCTGGGGGGAAGCTATACGGACGGCCACTTTCTTGATTAATAAGACTCCTTCCTCAGTTTTAGCCAACAAAACACCCTATGAAATTCTGTACCACCATCAACCTGATTTATTTGCCTTAAGAGTCTTCGATTGTCTTGCATTTGCCAGAATTTTGAATAATCATGATAAATTTCAGCATCGTTCTGAACCTTGTGTCTTTATTGGCTACCCACCTAGTCAAAAGGGTTGCTTATTATATAACCTTTAGTCCAAAACTGTCCAGGTTAGTAGAGATTTTCTCTTTGAAGAATCTAGGTTTCCTTTTCGAGATGCAATGGGTCTCAATCAAGGGGGAGACAATGACACTCAAGTGATTGATCCCTTTAGTAACACACATCACAGTTTTGATGCTGAACCAATATCTCCACTATTAGTTAGGTCTAGTAATCCTAATGACCATCCAGAATCATTCAATGATACTACAGACCCAATAGTTATAGAAGCCCATCCATCACTAAATAGACCAACCTGTGAGAAAAGGAAACCTAGTTGGATGAGAGACTATGTGTGTCATGTAGACACAACTTTTAAATCAGTGGTGGGCTATGCTTGTGTTATGGATACAGACCATATGTTGATGACAAAGGTAAAACCAGTAAAGTATCCAATGCAATCATACTTATCTCATTCAAATATATGAAAAGAATATAAGTATGTTTTATCTAGTCTTGACAGTGTTACAGAACCATATAGCTATGAGCAAGCCGCCAAGGATCCTAGGTGGATTGATGCAATGAAAGCTGAAATAAAGGCCTTGGAAGACAACGGTACATGGGAAATTGTGGATCTACCCAGAGGAAAGAGACCCATTGGGTGCAAATGGGTCTATAAGGTAAAATACAATTCCAATAGTGAGATAGATAGGTTTAAGGTGTAACATCCAAACTTTTGGGCCTAAAAGTACCAAAAATAGCCTGAATTGGATAGGTTACTAGACTCTTTTTATGCAGAAGTCCCAAAGATGAGAAAGGAAGGCAAAGCAGTTTCAGGGACTAAACTGCAAAGTGACAGCACACAACCCAAATCCTTTAGTGACGCATCGGTGTAAAGAACATACGGTACTCCAGGGATCGGAAGTGTAAGCACTGGAGCTGTAGTCAACTTAGTCTTCAGCTCTTAGAACGCTGATTCACATTTCTCCGTCCAAACAAACAGTTGATCCTTCTTGGTTAACTTAATCAATGGCATTGCAATCTGAGAAAAGCCTTGGATGAATCTCCGATAGTAGCCAGCTAATCCCACAAAACTCCGCACCTCAGTTACCGATCTAGGGACTTCCCACTTAAGTACTACGTCCACCTTGTTGGGATCCACTGCTACTCCCTGAGCTGACACCACATGACCCAAGAACTTCACTTCTTTTAGCCAAAACTCACACTTTGACAGCTTAGCATACAACTGGTGATCCCTCAAAATCCTTAGTGCGATGTGAAGATGCTCTCGATGTTCTTCCTCACTTCTAGAATAAATTAGAATGTCATCGATGAACACTACCACAAATCTGTCCAAATAAGGTTGGAAGATCCGATTCATATAGTTCATAAAGACCGTTGGAGCATTTGTTAGTCCAAAAGGCATCACCAAAAACTCATAGTGTCCATAACGAGTTCGAAAGGCCGTTTTTGAAATGTCCTCTACTCGTACCACTACTACAAAATGAAAAATACTCGACGGTTATTTTGGATCATATTTGACGGTTAAAAACCGTCAACTATACTGGCGTCATATATTTCCACAGCAAATATTTGACGGTTATTAACCGTCAAATATTTAAATCATACTTGACGGTTACTAGAGAAAAACCGCCAATTATTTTGATTATACTTGACGGTTCCAAAAACCGTCAAGTATTCTGTAATACTTGACGGTTCCATAGAGTGACCGTCAAGTATTATAAACATACTTGACGGTTATTTTTGAAAAACCGTCAAGTATTATTTAATACTTGACGGTTTTAAAAGTAACCGTCAAGTATGTTATAATACTTGACGGTTTTAACTAATAACCGTCAAGTATTATTTGTTTTTATTTTTAAAATTTGTTCTCCTTTGCCAGCAACCCCCTGCAATTTTGAAACCGATAACAAACGCTCATTCAACAGAATCATGCAGGCCAGCATTCAAACTAATTCAGCCATATACATATATGTTAATGAACCGAAAATAATTTACATTATCATATATATACATGAACCAATGAAAACCAACTGTGATTTATTAAAATTCTGGCAAGTACAAAAAGGTGAACCAATTCCAAAATTAGCCAATTGCCAAAGTTGTGCAATGCCTAAAACTAACCAACAGCCAAAAATAAACCAAAACCAAAATTATATTGAAACCAAAGCTAGCTGTACGTACATACACTATCTTAATGTACACTTCCCTATCTATGTTGTGCCCACTGACAGAATAAGGCCATCGCCAACTCCTCAATGATTTCTTCCATCTAAGCAGATGAATACACTGTGCAATATGTGTCAGCAAAGTACTGTATGCAACCACAAATTATGACTTAAGTTAGATAGAAATGTAAAGCTACAGTAAGTACAATAATTCTTAAATATATAAATTGAACCTTAACAAATGCATATTACCTGCGTGGGAATTGAGTCAGCATTGTGCAGAATTATCTCCTTCATAAATTTCATCACGCAATATCCACAATGGGAGCTCTTGTTGGGCTGACGTGGGCACTGTAAAGAATGGAAAAGGAAATAATATTAGTCAATCATATAAATAAACCATATTTAGTAGAATAGTAAATCATGGTAGTGAATACCTTCACTTTCTTCCACGGGAAGGTATCGTCAAATTGGCCGTTTTTTACCGGGGGGCAGGGTAAGGCCTGATTTGTGCGGTATAGCCACAAAGCCCTGAGAAGACAATAAAATTGAATATTAATGATTGTCAAAAATTTGATTGAAGTAAGAAATTAAATTAAATTTAAATAATAGAGATAAATATTACTTGTTGAACAATGAAACCATAAATGGTCGATTGGTTGGATCCCCATGAAGAGAATCAAGATACCAAATCCCCGGCTTTGTGGGATTGACCACAATCAGCATCCAGTGTCCCCTAAGTATAAGAAAGACAATTAGAACTATTACAAATTATTTTGAAAATGAAAGAATTTAGGAAAGTTTACCCTTGACAATAAGGCGCCAAAAACAAAGTCTGAGCCCCCGGTGTTGCCCTAGAAATGAAGATATCTAACAAGTCTCTGGATAAGTCTTTCTTCATATTAGGTCCGTGGCCAGCAAAAGTGTGGGGGCTGATAATCTTGAACTTGTCATCAAGGCCACCAGGGGCTATGAAGTTCTTGAAAAGATATCTAAATCAACAAACGAAGATATCAATAGAATAAATGTTCAAGTACTTAAGTATTTAGTTAAGGTTTTAACAAATACCTGATATAAAAGTTACAGGCATTTGTGCTGGCCATTCCATGCGTCAGAATCTCTTTCAATACTTCATTTGTGACATAATCTGACGAGGGTCGACCGTATACCTCTGGCTCAAACTCTAGGGGAATCATGAAATCCTCGCCATGTTCTAATCTGGCCCCAATTGCATATTCCTCAAGACATATTCGGAATCTTGATGATACCACTTGAACGGGCTCAGAGGGCTGCTTCTGTGGTGATGATAATGAGTGATCACCCAATAGGCTCTTCTTCCCCTTAGACTGACAAACAGACTGTTAGTAATTAAAATAGAGTTTATTTTAAATCAGCTGAATTTGTAGACCTATACATATATACCTTTGAAGGATGTCCTAATGTAAGAAGACGGCCAGGCCAAGCGACAAAGCTACCCACTGCTTGAGCCACTGTCTCTGCATCTGGGGTGGGAATCGGGAGGGCATAATTCGCATCAATAGCAGTGTTCAACTGCACCCTCACATGATCAGCAGGGAGAGGAACATTATGAATTATACTCTCCCCCGGTAAATTGAACATGCGGCCCGTTGCAACAGTGTGATGTTTAGGGCTATCCGCCATACACTGAACGTCCGCTTCACCCTGATTTGTTTAACATAGAGACAAGTTAGCTAGATATATAAATTATTGAATGTAATTATATAAACACAAGTATTATACCTCAGGTAGCAAGGGGAATGTGCAGCTGTCTTTGCCACTTGGGCTGAGATTCGGAGCCGGCTGTGGTGCTTGATTCTTGATCAACTGCTCGATTAGGAGCGCTTGCACTTTAACCTGCTCCTTTAACCAGCGTGTTTCTTCCTTCAGCTCCATGAACTCAGCAGAGGAAGGCGTGCACGATGAAGAGGGCTTTTGTCGGTACCCAAAGTAATCTCTCTTGGTGACTCCATAACCGACACCCCTAAGAAGACCAGGATGGTCAGGAGTCCCCAATGCCCTCCTCAATATATCCTGGTCATTTGCAGAATATGCCCCCTGCGAAACTTCCTGGGACAAACTCTCCTGTGCAACAAACATTGATATAGTTATTCATACTTAAAGATATTTGACAATAACGTGAAGATTATTTAATTTAGAATAATACTCACCATCCTATCCACGACCTCCTTAACGCGAGGATTATCAATTTGGCCATCTTTATTTTGCCTGGCCAGTGCCCACAGCATCTGACGTGATACAGTGACATCTGATCCCTCCTGCTGAGTCACCTCTTGCTCAAGGCCCGCATAACCCAAGCGGCCCTTTTGGTAGGAATACTCATTCTTCTTTACTCTTTCCTTATTTTGGGAACTTAATTCCTGTAAAAACAAAGTAGATTCACAATCAAACAATATATAGATTAAACAAAATGGACTATTTAATATCAAAAAGAGCGAGGATTATTACTTGAAATTGCCTATCACGACGTGACGTCACAAAAGCAGCCCAATCCTCTGGTTTGACCAAGTCCCGTATCAAGCTAGGAACCTGGGACTCGTCGGCTGTGGAAGGATCCTTCAAGTACTTGTGTGTGACAAAATATCGGAAAGAGCGTAGTGCCCTCCCAGCCTTCCCCTCCACAAACCTCTTCCTGCTCTCATCTATATCAAATGCAGACTGCAAAACATATAAAACAACACATTAGTGTCACGCAGCTTGTAAGAAAACGAAATTTGAGTTATAATATATTACCGATACATCTGTCCAAATAGTGTCTCGCACTGAACGATCAACCCTCCTCCAATGCTGCGCTGTAATGGGCACGGTGCTTCGTGCCACTGCCCCAATATAGCTGATAAATTTATTTGACCGTACAGCTTGTCCTTTCTTATTCCACTGTACGGCAAATTTCTTTCCTTCTGTTTGAGCTTTCACGACCTCTTGCATGACACAAAGGCCCCTCTGTATGCGTGCTGCCTCCTCTTGCAACTATCTCTCCTGCTCAGAGGCATCTCTCGGCTGAGATGGGTTATCAGTGCTAGATCCGCTATCGTCTGCCATCTGCAATGAAATTGAAGTAAACAAAATGAATCAGAATCCATTAAATGAAAATAAAGTCATTAATGACGAAATTTATTTGAACAAAATTAAAACAAATAAAAGAATCAAAGAAAATAATGAGAGAATTTACATGCATGTTTAAGAAGATCTTTTTCTTTTTCTACTCTTATGTTTTTGCATGTTCTTCTTGGTTTGAATTGTTTTGATCTTCTTACGAAACACTTTCCCCCTCTTTGAAATCCATATTCCGTCGTTGTGATCATGCCTGACATACATGGATTGATCTTCATTTAAATGAGAATCAAGTGAGGCCCCTTGAAATGGATCATCTTCAATTGCATTGTCTTCATACCCTGTCTCTTCAATATCCATTTTATTAGTCAACAAAACAATAGACCATCCTTTGGCAGCCGGGTCAGGGACATAAAACACTTGCGTAGCCTGAGAAGCCAAAATGAATGGCTCTTCCTTGTATCCTTCTTTATTCAAATTCAATTGTATAAACCCTAAGTCATCAATCCTCAATGCATTATTATTATCCACCCATTTGCAACCAAATACCGGAACTCTGAATTCAATGTAATCCAACTCCCAAATATCCTCAATCACTCCAAAGTATGACATACGTGCATAGATAGGATTTTTATCTTTGGCACTCAATATATGCATGGTACTAGCTACAAGAGTTACGCCACTATTTTGCTGTTTACTCCGATCATCTTGTTGTTTAGTATAGAAAGTGAACCCATTCATAAGGTAGCTTGTGAAAGAAATCACATGTTTGCTCGGTCCATCTGCCAACAACTTTAATTTCTTCGAAACAGAATTAGGATCATTATTATACTTGCCATGCACATGCTCTCTCAACCATGCTGTAAATTGTTTATTGTGTGTTTTGGTGTACCAACTTTCAAGTTTATTGGGATTATCCCTCTTTAGCTCATCAATATGCTCATGCACATAGTCCTCAATCTCTTCGGAGTTGTGCAATACATATAGATGTGCCTGCTCCCACTGTTGGTTTGAAATAGTTACGACTTTCTTTCCCATAATCCCTTCTCCATCTGTCCTTCCCTCATGACGAGACATTGGAACCCCAATATCACTTGCATTTTTTAAGTAATGGGTACAAAATTCAGTAGCCTCTTCACAAATATATCGTTCTACAATACAACCTTCTGGCCGACTTCGATTTTTCACATACCCTTTCAATATTTTCATGTAACGCTCAACTGGGTACATCTATCTTAAATACACTGGGCCACACAATTGGACCTCTCTAACTAAGTGGATGGTTACATGGACCATGATGTCAAAAAAATCCAGAGGAAAATACATTTCAAGTTCACATAACGTAACTATGATTCGGGTTTGCAATCTTGGCAATTTACTAGGATTAATCACTTTGCTGCAAAGAGACTTAAAGAAGAAACATAACTTTGTGATCGTAACTCGTACCTTATCAGGTAAAATAGCCCGTATTGCCACTGGAATAAAGTTTTCCATTAAGACATGACAGTCATGAGATTTTAAACCTTTTAACTTCATATCCTTCATTGACACAAGGTTACTAATGTTAGAAGAGTAACCTTCCGGCACTTTTACTGAAGCAAGAAACTCACAAAAACTACTTTTCTCTTTTCTAGAAAGGGTGTGAGCTGCCGGACGAAGAAATGTACGAGTTCCCTTATCCTCTGGTGCCAATTCCTCCCTTATCCCCATTTCAACCATGTCTAGCCTGGCATTTATGCCATCTTTAGTCTTCCCGGGAATATGGAGTAATGTGCCAAACAGACTTTCACATACGTTTTTCTCAATATGCATAGCATCAAGAAAATGTCTCACATTCAGGGTTATCCAATACGGCAGTATAAAGAAAATAGACCTCTTCTTCCACCCACTTGTCCAACATGCTTCGCAAAGGTTTTCCAAATTCACAATCTATATCTTTCACCTTTTGAAATACATCCTCCCCAATCAACGTTGTTGGTGCCTTACCTTCTTCTGAATTCCCATTAAAATATTTTTTGAATCGCCGGTAAGGATGATCACGATGCAACCATCTACGATGTCCCATGTATGAATTTTTCATTCCATGCTTCAACCTTATGGAATCTGTGCTCTCTTCACAAATGGGACAACCAAGTTGTCCTTTAATGCTATACCCTGAGAGATTACCATACGCAGGAAAGTCGTTAATTGTGCCAAATAACATAGCTCTCAACTTGAATTTTTCTTCCTTATATGCATCATATACATCAACTCTATTCTCCCACAATACTTTCAAGTCTTCAATTAATGGAGCTAGATATATATCTATGTCATTTCCCGGTTGCTTTGGCCCAGATATTATCATAGACATCATTGAATACTTGCGTTTCATGCATAGCCATGGAGGAAGGTTATATATAAACAAAATCACTGGCCATGTGCTATGGGTGCTGCTTTGCATCCCATAAGGGTTCATCCCGTCGGTGGCTAATGCAAGGCGTAGATTTCTATCTTCTTCCCCGAATTCAGGATACTCAATATCAAACTTCTTCCATTCTGGAGAATCAGCAGGATGGCGAAGCATGCCATCTTTAACCCTTTCATCTGCATGCCACCTTAAATTTTTCGCATCTTCTACATTACTATACAAGCATCTGAATCTTGGCACTATGGGAAAATACCATAATGCCTTCTTCGGGCTCTTCCCATTCTCTTGGTAGCGTGATGCATTACACTTAGGACACTCAGTTAGTGACTTATACTCCTTCCTAAACAAAATGCAATCATTGGGGCAAGCATGTATCTTCTCATAGCTGAGGCCGACAGAGCGCAACACTTGCTTTGCATCATACGTTTTACTTGGAAGCTCATTTTCTTTCGATAGCATTTGTTTAACAAGCAACAGCAGTTCTGTGAAGCCTGTGTCGCTCCACCCATTTCTTGCTTTCAAATTATACAGTTTCAACACTGCAGACAATTTTGTGAAATCAGTACAACCTTCATATAGAGGTGTCTCAGCATCACACTTCAATCTATCAAACATTTCAGGACAATCGTCAAGTTCCCGTTCAATCGCATCTGTCATCTCCTCAAGACGATCAGCTTCACATGTACTCATGTCAAGATTAGATGATCCACAGCTTTCACTATGCCCTCGACTACTATTACTCACATCTCTTGTCTCTCCGTGCTTTGTCCAACACTTGTAACTTTGATCAATTCCATTGATAATTAAGTGGCTCTCACAATCGGATAGCGAAACCCACTTCAAAAGGCAACATTTAAGACAGGGGCAAATAATCCTGTTGCGATCATCGGCGTGCTCAATCGCAAACTTAATAAAATCTTCCACCCCATCCCAATATTCTTTTGATAGACGATTGGCGGACATCCATTCTTTGCCCATGGTCCCCGACTAAGATGAATCATTTAGAGGAAAATGTGATCAGTGACTCAAAGATATTATGAGAATTAAACAAAAATAGAAAGTCAACACATGAGTCACTATTGATCACATTTATCCCTCTTTAATTCTACTTGCTAACAACTAGTAGTTGTTAACAACTAGTAATTCAACAAAAATTTACTTTCATTTCAGTTTGAAAAATATTCTACTACTACTAATGTGCTATTCCATTTGAAAAAAAATCGACAGCATAACGGCTTATAACTTAGAATTCCCCAGGCTTTACGGCAGAAAACCAAACCAGCACATAGTCAATTTCAATTACAAAAACAAAAATTGAAACATTAGCATTGCATTCCCCAGACTTTATCGCGAAAACAAAAAACTAAAACACCCTAAACCCAAACTGATCAAAATGCGAAACACCCATTTAGAATCAAGAACAGAAAAGAAAACCCATTCGGCCAAATAGCAAACCCATTTTCCGTGTGTGCATGGTGAACGGTCCTAGCATTATCCTATCATTCCCTTTCCACTACAATCATTTCTCAAAGGAAGAACTAAAGGAAATAAGGGGCGCGAGTGAAGCATTACCAACCTGGAGCCGAAATGACAATCTGGAGAATGCACGACAACGACAAAGCAGGAGGATGCCGCAACGATAATGGAGGACACCGAGAGGGACGATGATGGAGACGAGCAAGGACGGGCAAAAAGAGCAAAAGGGAACGGCCGAAACAGAGGTGGGTATGGCAGCTTGGAGAGTCCGAAGTGGAAGGGGGCGCAATCGGGACAATGCACGCACAATGACAAAGCAGGAGGATGCCGCACCGATAATGGAGGACACCGAGAGGGACGATGATGGAGGACGAGCAAGGACGGGCAAAAAAACCAAAAGGGAATGACCGAAACAGAGGTGGGTACGGCGGCTTGGAGAGTCCGAAGCGGAGGGGGCGCTAGAAATTTTGAACTGAAGAGACTGAACAGGGGAAAGGGATGGGTTTTTAAGCATAATACTTGACGGTTTCTATTAATAACCGTCAAGTATTTTCAAATAATATTTGACGGTTTTAAATCAAAACCGTCAAGTATTACTAAACTTGACGGTTTTGATTTAAAACCGTCAAGTTTACCTTTAATATACTTGACGGTTATTTTATAACCGTCAAGTAAAGAAACTGTCAAATATTTTTCTACTAAAATTGATGGTTTCTAAAGAAACCGTCAAGTTTTCTTTCGGGGGGATTATATTTGACGGTTTTTATGATAACCGTCAAATATTTAGCGTCAAGTATTCTCCAATTTGTAGTAGTGTACCCTCAACTGATAGTATCTTGACCTCAGATCAATCTTAGAGAAAACTGATGCTCCGACTAATTGGTCCAATAAGTCATCAATTCTAGGCAACGGGTACTTGTTCTTGATTGTGACCTTGTTTAATTGTTGATAG